TTACATCCGCCATCTATGTGCCGTAGAGTCATGACTTATGTTTGCTAATGGATTTGTTAGACTTGTCTTCTTAATTAGTGAATAAAAAGCACCTGCAGTCTGCTCTATTAACATGAAGGCAGTTAAAGTGCTTCTTCATTACTTCTTCCTAGTAGATTTAATCAGTTTGTTGTGTAATTTGATTCTAATACGGAGTCTTTACTATCCGAAAATCAATCTGAGTCAAGGCCATCCATGAACAAATCTGCCATTGATGATACTTCTAGTCCTTACTTTCTTCATCACTCAGACAGTCCGGTATTAATTCTGGTTTCTCAGCAACTCACTGGAGATAACTATGTCTCCTGGAGTCGTGCAGTGACTATTGCATTGTCTGTAAAGAATAAACATGGTTTCGTTGATGCAAAAATATCCAAACCTGGAGGTACTAATTCTGATCTGGTCAATTCATGGATTAGAAACAACAATATAGTCATTTCATGGATTCTGAATTCCATTTCTAAAGAAATCTCTGCGAGTGTAATCTATGCAATTTTAGCATGTGAGATTTGGAGTGATTCAAAAGATAAATTCCAACAGAAAAACGGATGTTCAATTGAGAAGAGTGCTGATGAATCTGGCTCAAGATATAAACAATGTCAGTGTTCACTACTAAACTCTAAACGATTTGGGAGGAATTTAATAATTACCATCCTAGTTGCAACTGTGGAAAGTGTACTGGTGGCGGTGTTAAAGTGTTGAATGCTCATCATCAAATGGAGTGCATAATGTCATTCCTCATGGGGGCTGAACGATTAATTCTCTCAAGTCAGATGACAGATATTACTTTCAGATCCATTACCTCCAATCAATAAGGTATTTGCCTCAAGGTATTTGTGGTGGTATTTGGAATTACTGGGAATGTCAAGAAGAAGGAGAGACCTTATTGCTCTCACTTTAACTTTCATGGCCATTCAATTGATAAGTGCTATAAAATCCATGAATATCCACTTGGATATAAGACAAGATTAAGGGATGCATCTAGATCGAACAATAAGCCAACAGATTACTCTGCTCTTAGAGTCTTTTGTTGCTTGGCATTTGCTTCCACCTTGTCTGCCCACCCCACAGAAATAAGTTCCAACCACATGCCAGATTGTGTGTATTTCTAGGATATCCAGCAGGAGTTAAATGCTACAAACTCTATGATGTGGCTTCAAAACAGATATTTTCATCAAGAGATGTCATATCCGTGAACCAGTTGACCATATCCGTGATTATATCCCAACCATCAACACTCATACATCATCTCAAGAAGAATCATCTCGTGAGACGGATGACATTTTCAGAAAAGATCCAGCCCAATATTACCCTATTGCATTCTGTGATGCAGTACCACATAACAA